CCTTTTTGGGAAATAGGGTAGTCTATCTGCTTTGGGGACTTGGTGAAGTCAAGAGAGAGCGGCGAAGATGCAGTTGCAAACTTCCTGTTTCAATAGATTGAAACGTTTGGGGGGGAGAGGAGAGAGTTGTTCCGCTCCGGCGTTGGTCTTCTTTGGGAGATGGGAGTTGTGCCTAAGATTTCCCGGGAAAAAAAATTTCCTTTTTGTTTCTGTCAAGAAACAGAGACAGGAACTTTCTTTTTTGATAATAAAATTATTAACCAAAGAAAAAAGTAAGCCAAGCTCTGATATCTGATCGGAAGGAGAGAGGGGAGGGAGGTATGGGCGGGAAAGAAGACAACTGTATGGCGATTTCCGGGCGGTGCCAAGACCAGAACAAAAATTCCAACAAGGACAGGAAAGAGGGAGGTTGGGCCTTTATATAGGCTGAGTCACAGCGCCCGGGAGTGCTGGCGTCAGGGGGGGCTGGGCCAGGCGGCGGCGGCAAAAGCAGCGACGGGCGGTCGCCTCCATCCATGGGTGGTCCTCCACTAGCGGCTCTTGGGTGGCCAACCCTTCCTGCCCGCCCAGCAAGCGCCCTTGACTCACTCCACCGCGCACACATTGTCTGGGAGCCCCACCCCACGCTGGACACGCTCTGTTTGGTCCTCGCCCCCTTGCCTTTTCTCCCGGTCAGCGCCATGGTTGCAGCCACTCGCCCTTTGTCCAGTCCGCGTCGCTCCTACGACTGATGGGCAGTCCCACCCTCGAGCCTATGCATTCCGTCTGCTCCAATCACCCCGTTCCCGGTCGTCGCCCTCGCTGCTTTAGCGTCCATCCCACCGATCAAACAACAATTTGGCCTTTCGCACCAATCTGTCCTTTATTTTTATTTTTATTTTTTTATTTTTATTTTTTATTTTTTTGTCTCTTTATGGTCATGTCTATTTCCTTTCCTCTTTCAGCCTGTCAGCGACGCGTCGGCGAATATCAATCTAATAAATTATATTATCGCGATGCCAATTTTCTATTTATTCTTTCCTCTTTCCCTCGAGTGATCATCGTACCTTATCAAGTTTCTCTCCGACCTATTCTCACAAAGAAGACGTCACCACGTACGGAGTACACAGTGTACAGACTACTCCGTACACACAACGCAATGAAGATATAAATAGGTGACCAGTCCCCGTCTGTCCGCTACACGTCCATTTTGTCCTCCACCCCCAAAGTCCAAACGCGAAAAGCTTGTCGCCGGTCGATGGATCACAAAAGGAGTCGCGTCGATGATTGGGTCTCAGTAGGCGCTGTCGGCCATGGTGGCGCTCTCGGCTTTTTCCCCAGATTGCAGCCAGGGTGTTGAATTATGATCCACCGTTATTTGTCTGTTTGAGGATGAGAGGTCCAATAATTCCTTGATGTTTGACTCTTGCCCGTAAATAGTAATCAACAATCAACATGACAGGTTTGACTCTAAATAACACCAAAAATGAGCCGAGGGCGGTGCTGGGCGGGGTGTACGTAATCGACTCCTGATCACGGGCATGTGGTATTTTACATGCCGACGCCGTATGTTTGGTATTCGGTTGGTATCCAGCATGCTTCCAGGTTTTCCATCTTACCTCCTTCCGTACCGCCGTCATCCGCTCTGCTTCCGCGGGCCAAACAAGCCGTTCCCTTTCTATCCGCCTGGACGCAGGAATCGTGATACTTGATGATCTGCTCTCGACTCCCAGCGCTATGGTATCCCGACGTAATGATATCATTACCGAGCATGTGGTTTGCTCATGATTCACTTTTTTGATTTTACCTATCTATTATTCCTGAGGGTCCCACTACCGAAACTACGGCAGATCAGTGACCGGGATAATGGAGAAATCTGGAGTACTATTAAATATCGAATTGACCCCGTCAACGTGACGTAGCTTCGGGAAGAGAGAATAGGCTGTATGCGATTGCTATTCAGAGTCGGGCTATACTCGGTTTCCTGCGGATGAGCAATTCTTAATTGCCCCTCTTCCCATTGGCCGACCTTACCTCGGGCCACCGCCCGCCGCCTTGGCTTAGTCAACTTTTTGCGAAGTTGATCCCGCCTTTATTAAAGATTGCTGCTATCGCTTCCTCTTCACGTTGCGCCCTTTTCGCCTCGCTGTTCTCGGTCATGTCGATGCCTGTATGATAACACCTTGACTCTGTACACCACTCTCCCCTCTCCGTCTTTGTTTCCCTTCATTTGCGCCATGGCCTCTAAGGGAGCCATGCTGCCTCTTTTGAGGCGTGAGATGCGTCCTGCGCCCACTCGCCTCTCGCGGGCCTACTCCTCCTTTTCCGCTGCCTCAAACTCGACGAGAAGCTCGAATCCTTCGTTGTCCATCCCCGGACGCAGAGCCTCCCGCCGCTCCGCTCTTTTCACCCCGGGTCGCATGCCCATTCGTGCTTTTTCGCAGTCGCTGAAGCTCGCCAATGAAAATGGACACTTCGATCCCCGATCAGTCGACAGAGAGTCGGATGAGGTGGACGTCTGCATTGTCGGTGGCGGTAAGGCTATTCATGTCGTGTTTCACTGTGTCCCAATCCTCGTCGCTGACCATCTGCTTTCTCACGGACCCCAGGCCCCGCCGGTCTTGCCGCCGCGATTCGTCTAAAACAGCTTGCCAACGAAGCGGGGAATGAGGAATTCCGTGTGATCCTGCTGGAGAAGGCCGGCGAAATCGGTGCGCACATCTTATCGGGCAATGTCTTCGAACCGACCGCACTCAACGAGCTTCTACCCGACTGGTTATCGGAGGACAATCCGTCACGGTTCGAGGGCGTGACGCCGGCCAAGGAAGAGAAGATGCGCTTCTTGACTCAGAATTCCGCGATCCCGATCCCGATGCCGCCGCAGATGAATAACCATGGAAACTACATCGTCAGTTTGAACGAGTTAACCAAATGGCTGGGTGAGCGAGCGGAGGAGCTTGGCGTGGAAATTTACCCCGGATTCGCCGCTAGCGAAATCGTGTACGGAAGCGACGGCGCTGTGCTCGGAGTGGCGACCAACGACTTGGGTATTGGCCGGGATGGTCAGGCGAAGGACACCTTCGAGCGAGGAATGGCGTTCCATGCTCGCGTTACCCTGCTCGCCGAGGGTTGCCATGGCAGTTTGACCAAGCAGGTTACCAAGAAATATGACCTGCGACGTGATAGCCAGCCGCAAACGTACGGCATCGGGCTGAAGGAGGTCTGGGAAATCCAGCCCGAGAAGTTCAACTCCGGAGAGATCGTGCATTCCTTGGGTTACCCGCTCCCTTCGGATACCTACGGCGGTGCCTTCATGTATCACTTTGGCGACAACATGGTCACTCTTGGTCTGGTGGTTGGTCTGGATTATCCCAACCCCTGGCTTTCTCCGTATGGCGAGTTCCAAAAAATGAAGCACCACCCTCTTTTCAAGGACGTTCTGGAGGGTGGCAAGTGTATCTCTTACGGAGCCCGTGCTCTGAACGAGGGCGGTTTCCAGTCCATCCCGAAATGCGCCTTCCCGGGAGGCGCGCTCATCGGCGACACGGCCGGATTCCTCAACGTCCCTAAGATCAAGGGCACGCATACAGCCATGAAATCCGGCATGTTGGCCGCCGAATCGACATTCTCGGCGCTGCAGAGCTCAAGCGAAGGAACGGTCTTCCTTTTCGACTACGAGAAGTCCCTCCGAGAGTCGTCTATCTGGAAAGAGCTGCGAGAGGTCCGCAACATGCGACCCTCCTTCGGCACTCCTTTCGGCCTGTACGGAGGTGTTGTCTACTCCGGTCTGGAAGCCTACCTTTTCAAGGGCCGAACGCCCTGGACCCTGAAGCATCACAGCACCGACGCCGCGGCCACCAAGCAGGCCTCGGAATGCGAGAAGATCGAATACCCCAAGCCGGACGGCGTTATCAGCTTCGACATCTTAACCAGCGTTAGCCGAACTGGCACCAACCATGAGGAAGACCAGCCGGTGCACCTGCAGGTCGAGGACTGGGACAAGCACAAGGACATCGCATGGCCGCAGTACAAGGGCATCGAGAACCGGTTCTGCCCCGCCGGAGTGTACGAATACGTCGAGGACCCGAGCAAGGAACATGGCGTTCGCTTCCAAATTAATTCCCAGAAGTGAGTTCTCCCTTTTCCCCTTCCCCTTCCTCGTCTGGTCCAACGCTAACACATAACAGCTGCATCCATTGCAAGACCTGCGATATCAAGGTTCCCACGCAGGATATCAACTGGCAAACACCCCAAGGTGGCGAGGGTCCCAAGTATTTCATGACATAAGTTGGGAAAAACCCGCCCCTCCCCCGTCCCCTTTCTTTCTTATTTGCCTTTCACCATCCGTACCAACATTTCCACTATATCCTACCGTGTTTTATTCTCTCTGTTGAATAGAGTTGCCTTCGCGCATGTTGGCACATCTAGTTCTGGATCTGGATCTGATTCTGATTATCCACCGTTCAATTCGGTTCTATCGTCATAACCCACATACCATATTTACCCCACCTACTTGACCTTCCATACCTAGTCCGTCGTTGTCTACTCCTATGTCCTGTATAAAAAGGAAACCAGAAAAGCAAAAGCCGGTCGATTCGGTCTTTGGGATGGGTCTTTCTTGCGATCTGTATATAGATATCTATTTGAGTTAATTGCATTGAATATCTAACTTTCTCGACCTCAACGAAGAGAAAAGTTTAATCATGTCATATCATATGTTTTATAGGAATCTATCCTTGGACAGAGGTAGTGACGACTGGCGAGGGGGTTCTAAATGCGTGGGAGATTGAAAATCAAGAAAGATATCGTATGAATTGTTTCAGAATTCCAATCTATGTAGTTATCGAATTGATTGATGGATGTAGACCGAACACAAAACCCCAATAATCGGGGAGGGAGTAAGGATGATAAACCAAGCCATTCTTAACCAAACTAATCAACATGCTTTGATTGTTATTATTGAAATCAATTTAGCACTCACTTCGTTTTCAAAAAGCCAATTTGTTAAACCTGGTGAATACTTAATCTAGCAGGTCAAATTCCGGCACGACCACTGCATTATCCGAGTCTAGAACATATGCCGAAGTATAGTCGTTCTTAAATACGACTCGCCAGAGCTTCGTACCGGGTACATCTAACGGAAAGGAAAACATTAGCACTGATGTTCAAAGACCCGCTTCCATGGACGTATGTAAAAAGGAGGAGGGAGTTCGACATACGATACTTCTGGGGAGCAGACTGCCTGCAGTCTAAAATAAGCCAGTCGGTCATCTGCCCATTCTCGATCAATGGGTGATAGAGACCGTGCTGCTGGAACCGAGCGCACACGCTGTGGATCTGATCACCGTCGCGAAGCAGCTCGACGCCCCATGCCGGCCCGATGATGCGGAAGTCGACCCGTTCGTTGCCGGTACAGGACCACTTGCTTGAAATGCCCACTCCGTGGCCGACGAGGGAGGCGAAACAACGATACCATTCGTCCTGGAAGGGGGTTTCGGGTGGGCGGACGAACTTGTTAGGGAGATGCGAGGTGACGGGGTCGGAAAGGAGACGGGTCCGCGAGAAGCATTTGAGGATGGCTTCACAAAGGGTAGCTAGACAGGGGAACCGGTCGAATGGGAAGGGTTTTAGTTGCAATGCGTGCAACATGTACTCAACGAATCTGTTTGGTTAACAGGTTAACAGACTAGTTATTTTGTGTTGTAATGACATGGCATATCGGTGCAATATTACTTCATGTGTAGTCTGGTAGGGAGGAAACAGATGGTGTTGGGGTCCCCTGCGGCTGAAGTCCTGGTAAGGTCTGAGTGCAACCAGCCTTTCTCGTAGCAGAGTCGGAGTCCTTCATCTTGAAGGTTGCACGGTACGCTGCCATTCTCTAACACCCTGCGGAGTACGTTGACAGCAGACGCTGTGAGGTTTTTTGCCAAGGGAAATGACCTGAACACTGCGAAATGCCGGAGGCTTCTGAACACGCGAGATTCATCGACGAATGATCTACTAAAGAGTTCCTTTGTCACGGTTCGGACCGTACCGTCCTCTGATGTGTAGTTCTATAAACCCTCGTGTCAATAAATGTTCTCATCCTTTTTCGTGCTAATACATACCTTTAAGACGTGTGAGACTATTGCTTCGACGGCGCCGGGGTGGCCCTTTGTCATGGAATACAAGTATTCGCGCGCGGATGGATCCATGTCCAAGGCCATGTCCGGACGGGAGCAAAGCCTATTGACTGCGTCTTCACACTCCTCTTCGGTGTAGAAAAGGCAGATGCCCGAAGATTCCGGGTCTGATTGCTCGGTGATGGATACACGCTGTGACGGTTCCAGATACAGGGAAGCTTGTGCATCAGGATAGCCGGGCAATCCGCCTGTAGGGCTTCCATAGGAAGAGAATATACAGATTCTGGCACCGCCAGATGCGCCACTTTGGCCTTTGATTGGACCCAGCCACAGTGAATGATCTGCAAATGATTCTTGGGCCTCATCAATAATGAACACAGTTTTAGTGTGCAGACGGTTCTCGATATAAAAGCGATTGGTCTCCTCCTGCTGATCTTGGTGTTGTTGGGTGACACGATCAGCACCTTGGTTCCAGCCTGTTATGACTTTCACTGACTGCCCCTTTTCAGTGTAATAGAGCTCAAGAAGATGCGCAAGCGTTGTCTTGCCTGACGACGGGGGTCCTCTAACATGTACCACTCGGTTTTTGTCTAGCAATGCGGCAAGCTTCCTGACCGTGTCGGAACGAGGCGAGATATCCTGGTGCAAAGTGGACGGAACTTTCGACAGAGATGGGGCTGCTGATAGTTAGTTCATGCTCCTTTACTCCATGGCCTTGAGGGTTAGCACCATAGTCTCGATGCCGGGAGAGAAGGTGGCCACAGTCATCGCATATTCCTCCAGTGGAAAAGGAGTGGGCCTGGATCATTAGAGAGCCGGAAACACAGGGGCATCGCATGTCACCTCTGAAGAGGAAAAGACAAGGACCCAAGATGACTTTCATCATCTGCTGATGATCAGAAATGAGAGCCTGTCCAGCTAAAGGCATGGATGCCATGATGGCGAAGGATTACGGCTGGAAGAATCTGGAGATGTGGGAAGGAGGGTAGAGAGGGGAAAGGCCAAAAATTTTTGGAAGGCGTAATTTCTACGTCAAAAAAGCGGTTGACCGATGTAAGTATGACTCCATATCCTGGCGGAAGTAGAACGGCGGTTGGTAACCAGTGCATGTTCAATAGCACACCAGTCTACTTGGTGGGTTCAACTTCGATGGAAACCATGCTTGCAGTTTCTATACATGGGTAGATTGAATCCGTAAGGAAGGAGGACCCCCGTAACGGTGACGACGCAACTAGTGCTTGAAGCATTCGGATGCAACCGAAAGTCAACGGAAGCGACCCTAGATAGAGTTCGCTGGTTGAGTGGAAATCATAGATGATAACAAGGTTGACAACAAGGTTGACAACAAGGTATTGTACCTGTTTATCAGCCATCGTTAGTTGACGGTGGTTAGTATCGGGCTTCTATTGGATTGCATAGAAGCCAACATGGTCTATTCCAGTTGAATAGAATCCATGAGAGGCGAGGATGAAAGAAGGATCAAGAGTCAAAGAGGGCTCTGGACAGAGTCAAGAATGGATCTCCGGCAAGGGGGGCAGGTGACTCCACGTGACAGGCACCCCTCCGTCACCTGTCAGAATTCGCCACCGAGAATGTGTCGCACCGAGAGTCCTAGGACTCTAGGAGTACGGAGTAGTCTGTAGGGTCAGAGAAGATCAAGAAGACAAGAACAAGGCTGGGGGAAGTAGAACGCCTGGTGGTTACGGGCGGGGCCACGTGGATCCGCCCAGAGAAAAAGTGAGGCGGACCGTAACGCAAAGTTGTTTGGTTACGCGGAGTATCTCGACCGGAGCAGTTCCCAGTTCCAGTTCCTAGCGGAGTAGAGTCTAGTCTGGCCTGGAGCTGCTTTGCTTCTTCCATCCTTGAACAAGACAGGTCACGGGCCTTTTTTTTTCTCTTTCTTTTTCTTTTTTCATTTTGCCTGGCGGTCAACACACACCAAGTCCAGTCACCACATCTCCTTCGCCTCTCTTCTCTTTCTCTCTCCTCCTTTCTCTTCTTCCTCGGTCTCATCCCCTATCCCCTACCCTTTTCCTTCGCCTATCTTTCGGTCTGTATTCAAACCTCTCCTCCGCTGCCTTTGCAGACGGAATTACCACGGAACTGCTACACCCCAGCTAAGCGTGCCAAACGCCCCCTCCTTCTAGTCAGGCCCACCAGCAAAACTTCTGGACCATCTCCGGTTCGGGGAAACCAGGAATAAACAAAAGAGCCACCGGTGCTGTTTATCCCAGAAAGGACCCTTCGCTATCGTGAATCCTTGATCCCAGGCCTTCTCTCTTGATCGGACCATTTTCTTTTCTTTTTCTCAACTTGGCCACCACAAATCCCAGGGGCCAGAAATATCTAGCCATCTAGCCATCTAGCCATCTAGCCATCTAGCGATTCCGTCGGCTATTGGATCTCCATTCTCTTCCGGTGATTTTTGAATATAGCGCCGCCGGTTTTGCTTTTTGTCCGCCATGACTGAAGTTTCATCCACGCGACTCTATCTCGGGAATCTTCCCCGCAACGGTATGCAGGCATTTATCCATCTCTCTTCTCCGACCGGTTTCTCTCTACCTGTCCAGTCAATTTGCGCCCCAGAGACAGGATGCTCCGATTGGATTCCTATGCTGCTCGGTTGACCGCGACTGCGACGCGAAGACTCTGCTGCACCTGTTGTTATTCCTGGCTGTGCTTCCCGGGGTCTCTCCGTCTAAGAAAGGATTTCCCTTGTTCTGGTTCGGCGGCTTCTCCCTCGGAGGCCCGTTCTAACCGCCGCTGATCCGTTGACAACCTGACTATAACCAATTTCCTGGACTACTTAGTATTCTTTTATATTGCAATGAGCTAACATTTCTCGCGGCGCCGTGAGCGGCGCCATGGGCTTATCCAGTGACCAAATCAGATATCGAGGAACATTTCAGTACTCATGGCTCTGGAAAGATCACAGAGATCAAGCTGATGAATGGCTTCGGTTTCATCGAATACGAAGATGCGATGGATGCTCGCGATGTTGTTCCGGGTATGTTCTTTGGCCGTCGTAATGTCGGAAAACGCCTGCTAACCGCTTTCTCATCCAGCGTTCCGTATGTAGTCTGTTCAACCCGATTTGGACTCACCCATACTGACTACAATGATTTAGATGGTAGTGACTTTAAAGGTGAACGGCTCACGGTGCAATTTGCACGTGGTCCGCGCCGTAAGGAGAACTTCCCTGGCCCAACGGACCGCCCGAGCATGCCTCGCCCCCGGCGCACGATCTTTCGCATGATGGTTTCTGGACTCCCGGAAACAAGTTGGCAGGTTAGCAGCCCACGTCTATTTTCCTTAGGATTTTCCGGACCCCACCCAGCCTGGCCGATCAGTGTTTAACCAATGCCCTCTCTCATTCTGTGCACCCTCTCTTTCTGTCACTTGTGTTTTTTGTCATCCGTTCAAGTCTCTTGGGAAGAGATACAGCACGACCACTTTATAGTGGATCGGTTTGCCCAGCTTCCCGGGATCCATCTGGCGGAAGAGCGATTAATATCAGCCCCGATCCGCACGGACAGCCTGCAAACCGCGGGACAGTTGACGTCTTGCGACTCCCGGATGTTGGATGACCACCCTCTGGACGAAAACCAATAGATCTTGCGGCCGACATGGAAACGGACCCTCTGCGGCCTTTTCGTCTGCCTTTAGATTGGCACTGCGGTCTTCCCTCCGACTGTAATCTCTATTTGTTATTGCTTAGCTGCTGCACCTCCACCTGACACTGCCGGATCTCAAAATTTACCTGGAAATGGACTCACACCCCGGAATTATTTAGGATCTCAAAGACTTTGCGCGTCAATCTGGTCTTGACGTTGTATATTCGGAAACTGGCCGTGAACTGGGTAGAGGGTGGGTTCCGTTCACATACCTTCCCCCTTGGACGACATGACTGGCCTATTAACACCAATTCCAAGGTTTGTTGAATTTGAAACTGCGAATGATCTCAAGACTGCTATCGACAAACTCGATGGACGTGACTTCAAGGGCTCGAGAGTGAGCTGCGTCGCAGATGTAAGGGACTTTACCCACGCCTCAATCCGGACCAATCCTCATTCAGCCACAGATCCAGTCCTTTGATGATCGTACTTTCCGCGATCCCTACCGGTCTCGATCTCCTCGTCGGAGCTACCCCCCTGTGGATGAATACGACCGGAGATTCCCGGCCCCTCCTCGTGGTTACAGCCCCCGTGCTCATTACCGTGAACGTTCTCCCATTCCGATGCGTCGGGATTACTATGATCGGGATGGCTACGGTCGTCGCACTCCCCCTCGCCCTCGGATTGAAGACTATCCTGCTCCGCGTCGCCCTTATGACGATCCTTATGATGTGCGGCCGCCACCTCCGCCTCGCTACGAGGATCCGTACATCCCGCCTAGGCCTTATGGACGCCCTCGGAGCCCTCCACGGGGTGAATACGTTCCGTACGACCGTCGTGGGTACTGGTAATTGACTTCTTTTCGTGTGATTTAAGCTGCTCAATGTGCATGGCGGATACCCCCCTCTATGCTTCTTATTTTTGTCGTTTTTTTCTTGCTGATTATTTGCCCTTTTTGCTGTTGATATCTGGGCTTTGCTCGCTCACCGGATCATGGAGCGTAAACTCGACTACATTGTCTGGGCTACAGATGCGAACTGCCATGCACCCGCTGCGGAAAAGCTTCTGTTCTATTCGACATGATAAACGAACACAAACTGCCACTTGCCTGGGGCTGCTTCCAGGAATAATACTCGCGACATAACGGGACAGGTGTAAGGAAAGACAGATTAACACTGCCAGTTGTTTCGACTTCCCTGGTTAGTTTGAACTTGATTTACGGACAATCAGACCCACCGACCCTCTCAGCAATAATTTATTCCCTGACGATATTTGACCGTTTATGAGGATTTTATGTACAGTTAACCACGAAATGTCAATTTTGCGTTTGCCCATCTTGGCCTGCCTGGAGAACCATGTGCGATGTAACTGAAAGCGTTAATGGGCAGGGATGTCATCGCGATAGGACTCGAGAGCCATGTAACGAGCGACTTGTCGTAATCCTTGTTCAAGAGCCGAATTCGTAGGGAACGACGACGTAAACCATGATCGAAGACCGTTAGCCTTTGGGACCGGCGTCATACAAAGCGCGACGAATCTACGGTTTGCTACCCGCGCTAAAGGATTAATAACCCCACCGACCATCGACCTTCCAGCTGCCCCGCACAAAAACGTCCCGACTCGACTCAACTCGTATCTCAGCTGGTTGGCCTATGTGTGCAGGCTTTCCTCTCGCCATTTACTTTCAAACACCGTGAGGTCGACACTGGGCCATCCAAGCTGCTAGCTACTACCGGTCCTGTCAGCATTGACTTCTCCATCTAGCTCTATTGACGTCAGACTGGCCGTGTGGGTGCCCACGAACTCCAGATTTCGATCACGCTCATCATGGCGCAACAACGAGTCAACATGCATATTCCCTCGCATCCACCCGTTCTAGATAGTGTGAAACTCCGCAATATCCAGCTTCCACTACCATCAGCCCCAGACCCCTGGCACCGTCCCGAAAAAGCCCAGCCCTGCACCGCGTCGCTGAAATTATCGTACTCATCCGCCGTCGCAGCCGCCATCGCTGACGATGTCTCCCTCTCTCTCGACTACGGAAAACTTTACCGTCGCCTCGAGGAGGACATCCGTCATATGGGACAACGGGGAGAAGCTCCGGGACAGCGCATGATCAGCGTGGAGGGCAGTCGACGCGAGGAGATGCTGCGGAAAGAACTCGGGCAGGACGTACGTCTGACGGCCGGCATCGTCGCCAGCTGCGGCCTGGGACTTTTGGACGAAACGGCTGCCGGTGTGCGACGGATGTCCCACCTGCACCAAGCCGTCCGAAGAGGCAGCGGCTCAGGAGATCAATCTGGCTCCGCGAACTTCAACTTCAGCCCCCCGCGTCCGCCGGGCTCGCCCATCGAGAGTGTGTATGGCGAGTGTGAAGTCTGGTTGCATCTGCCTAAGGCATTGCTCCGGGCTGACGAAGGTCTGAAATACCGTAGCGTCACCGTGTGGGGATATAAGCAGGCAGGTGAAGGGCCTTCCGGCGAGGCCGACGAGTCCGAAAGATGTCCGGTAGTCCTCGAAGAGGAGTTCCGAATTGACGGGATTCGATGCTACTGCATCCTGGGAGTCAACTCCCACGAGAGGGTGGAGAAGCAGGCGGTGATCATCTCCTTAGAGTTCAAGGGTCCCGGTCAACTGCCCTGGGGCTCGACAGTGGTGGACACTTATCAGGCGATGACGAGGGTTGTTGCAGAGGTGGGTGATCTTCCCCGAAGTGCTAATGCGTAATATGGCTAATACTGTCTCCTCTCTTAGCGAGTCGAGGCCACGTCGTTCCAGACTGTCGAGGCGTTGGCGACCTTCGTGGCGCGCGTTGTGACGGTAGAGTTCTTAAACAAGCGCGTGACTGTGAGGGTCGAGAAACCTAGCGCTCTTGCCTTCGTGGAGAGGTCAGGCGTGGAGATTACGCGGTCTCAGGCGTTCTTCGAGAGGGCTGAAGTCGACGGCGGAAGAGCATGATCGTGGTTCGGGAGTGACTAATTGAGTGTGTTAGTTGCTGACTGCGTTCTGCCATTGCTGGAGGAATAAAGTGTAAAATACTCGTAGGCTGCACATGGATACTTCATTAAAGATGTTTGTAATTTGTATACAACTCGATGACCTCAGCGCGTGATGCCCGCGCCTAATCGGGCCTAGCGCACACGCTTAGCATCGGCCCCCCCTGATTGGCGCAGGCGAGGCTGGATCCAGCTGAACCTCCAACTTTTTGTTTCTCGTCCTGCTTTCTTCCTCTTCCTCTTCCCTCCCCCACCGTTTGATCGGGAATATCACTCCGAATCACCCTTCACCACTTTCTTCTCTGGGTTCCCCAGTTTGTCTGAATTCCATCTTGAACTCCTGTCCGGCCGTTTCTCTATGTGCCTGTCTGCGCCCACGCCCTCATCGTCCGCTTACGTTAACTCCGTTGGCTGCCTTGCCGACTCCTCCGCATTCCCCCGGATCGTGAATACCGACTCGACACTTGCTATCACTCGCGGACCTTCCGCGCTGGCTGGCTCCTCGGTTGCATATACTCAGCCGTTGGGACCCTCCCTCAACGGGGTGATCTGGCTAGGGGTTCATGGTCCGTCCTGAATAAGGGCGGACGGTAAATTGCTCCTGACCTGAGAGATTCAGTGTCCGACAACTAGATTCGCCTTCGGGCAAGTGTGTGTGTGAGGGAGACTTAACTTCCAGGAGTTCTCTCCAATTCGCCCTTTTTTTTGTCCTGTATAGGTACGTGAGTTTAATTGTTCTGCGCCCCTTACTTGTTGGTTTTCTTCCTCGGGTTGAAAAAGTACCCCACTTATGTGCGTAAAAAGGCCGGATCGCATTCTCACACTTCTACTTGATCTAGGTACTGTTGGATAAGCCTACCAGGCTTCTTCTCCACCATTTATGGCTGAGTTGGTGTAATCATTCGTGACTTTATGAATCGTGCTCGTTGGCGCCTCCTAACTCGATTGAACGTTGCTGCCGCTGTTTTCGCTCCGACAATTTCCGCATAGTCCTCCGGATCACGACAGGATAAGAGCTAAGGCAAAGGGATAAACCATATACCAACAATATTATCTAGAAAGAGAAAGCGAAAGAGAGAAAGACAACAATGGATTCGTCGACTAGAATGCAAGACGATCTCTCGGTGAGCGACGTATTCACTCCGCAGGCGGACATGTCCCCACCCCGTGCAGAGACCAAGATGAACGCCGTTCGAGACACCAACTTTCGCATGAGTGAATGCAGCCCTGAGCGCAAGGCGACGAAGGAGCTTGGCGCGATCAATCCATTCCCAGCGCCGAAGTTTAGTGCGATCCCGTTGGCCGGAAAATCGGACCGGCGCAAGAAGAAGAAGAAACAACAGGGCATCGAAGCAACCTCCGCCATTTCCACCGTGCGCGGATTCACTCCCAGGGGATCCGGCGATGAAGACTCGGATTTCTCGGCTTCGAGCTCCAGAGCTCCTAGCTCGAAGCGACACCCCGTGCCTACGAGCAATGGCAACAATGGCGGGGTGAGTGCATTAAAACTTCAGCTTGATTCTCTCGATATCTCGGGCGATCGTCGCCAAAATGGAGCTCCTAGTGACATCTGCTCCGGGACCGCAAGCAACGCCAGTGTTTGCTCGGACAGCGATCAGACCGAGGTCCTCACCAGTTACGAAGTGCCTCTGGATCATGATTATGTGAGCGCCGATGCTGCGGCAGAAGAGAGCTTTCAGGATCCCTCAAATGTTCAGGATGTACGCTCTCAGCTATGCCGCAAGATGACTACCGATGACTTCGAACCACTGCTCTGCCTGGGCAAAGGCTCATTCGGAACTGTCTTGCTGGTGCGTCATGTGCTCACGGGCAAGCTCTATGCGCAGAAACAGTTTCGAAAGGCCTCCATCACCGTTCACAAGAAACTTGTGGAGCAGACAAAGACGGAGCGTACGATATTAGAGAGCGTGAATCGCCACCCGTTCGTCGTCAAGCTCTTCTACGCATTCCAGGATCACGAGATGCTGTATCTGATTCTGGAGTATGCCGAGGGCGGGGAGCTATTCACGCACTTGGCGATGGAAAGGATGTTCGACGAGGATGCGGCTGCCTTTTACATGGCGCAGATGGTTCTCGCTCTTGAGCACCTCCACCAGACCGTCGGAGTGATCTACCGTGACCTCAAGCCGGAGAATTGCCTCCTAGACCGACGCGGCCACCTCGTGCTGACAGACTTTGGTCTCAGCAAAATTGCCGTCGACGACGACGACCGCTGCAACTCATCCTTGGGCACCATCGAGTACATGGCGCCAGAGGTTGTGCTAGGCAAATCATACGGCAAGGCCTGCGACTGGTGGTCTCTGGGAGCACTGGGATTCGATCTGCTCACAGGATCGCCCCCCTTCCGAGCCAACAACAATGCGAAACTCCAGGAGAAAATCGTCAAGCAGAAACTGACCATGCCGTACTTCCTCGGCCCGGATGCTAAAGATCTGCTCACGCGGCTGCTTCGCAAGGAACCCTCCAAGCGCCTCGGATACCACATGCCCAAGGACCTCCAGACCATCAAGAACCACCGGTTCTTCCGCAAGATCGACTGGAAGGCCCTCGAGCGGCGTGAGCTCGACCCGCCCATCAACCCCGTCGTGACGGACCCCGCGCTCGCGGAGAACTTCTCTGTCGACTTTACTCAGCTGCCTCTCAGCCCCATGATCGGCGGTTTCGATGATTCCATCACCGGCCTTCGCCGACCGAGCCAGCCGGGCATGTCCGCCGGGCATGACGGACTGGGCGGAGAGAATCCCTTCGGCGGATTCAGCTTTGTCGCCTCAAGCAGCTTGCTTGATCATGGCCCTGGAATGATGGCTGCTGGTTACTGAGCAGATATTTGGGCAATTGAACATCGAGCCTAGTCCGTTCTTGAACTTCTGGTTCCTATCTTTACCTTCTGATATCATATTTTTCACTCCTTTGTTGTGGTCACTTCTATTTTTAGTTATTTTACCTTCTTTTCTGGTGTGTAATTCAGCGCATTGCACTGCTGTTACATACGCTACATTCTTTCTCTGAAATTCTATTATATTCATTATACTATCTCTTTCCAAACATTCATGCTCCCTCAAACGTAGACTAGATCCACCCATCATCGTAATCTCCACGGTTAGAGAAAGTAACACATCCAGAAAGAAAAAACACCGTATCCCAAAGCCAGGGCCAATGAAACCCCTAGGACAGAGGTCAAGTGGTAGTACAGTAAGTACATAATGAGATCGAATCAAGTAAGGCAGTGCAATTCAAGAAGCAAATTTTTCATTATTTTGTTTTGTTTTGTTTTGATGAAATTTTGTTGTTTTCTCCTATCTATTCAATCCATGTATGTATTCGCCGAATTTTTACTCCATGTATTAAGATAAGAAACTCGTTCGATCGACTTGCGAAGGAAGAAAGTATAGAAAAGAAAAAGAAAAAAAAAAAAAAAAAAAAAAAGAAGAGCGATCAGGTTAATATTTGAAAACAAAGATGATTGAGATTGAAAGAGACATAAAACCGAATGTTGGGGCCAGACGATCCGGATCAATCAGATCAGATCAATGATGATATGAGAAGACATGAACGATATCGTATATGCGATGCGGCGAAAGAAAAGATAGTAAAATAGCAAAAGGGGGCAAGTTTGAACCATCAGGAGAATAAACGAAGAAATGGGAAATTCCAACTGATACAAGCGGATGAACAACCTTGATAGTCAAATGAAAAGAGGTGAGGGAAGGGGAAGGGTAGAGGGGAGTCTATTATAACTCTCCTTCTTCGCTCCCTCCACCCTCATCATCCTTATCTTCCGAATTGTGAGGATTGCTTTGTGAAGGTGGGGGCGGAGGCGGGGGTGAGGGTTGACTGTGATCAACTTGATCAGGTGGCGGAGGAGGAGGAGGTTGCTGTTGTTCTGGTTGAGGCTGATCGTTAGGAGGTGGTGGTGGTTTCCTGCTGCTGCTGCTCCCAGAGTCTGAGGGACGACGGCGCCGGTCCGAGTGGTGGTCATCGTGTTCCCATTCGTTGCGGTATCGATCGGAAGACCGTCGTTCTGACCGTGGAGGGTCTCGAGATGATGACGATGCTGGTGGAGGGGGAGCCCCGTGGGACATGTTTTGTTGCACGATCTCATCGATTCGTTGCTGGATAGGATCGACAGAGGCTCCCGGTGTTGGGTTGCCTCCCGGTCGACTGTCGCTATCTCGTCGGGAGTAGGGTCGAGGAGCTAGGGGTAACGGATGTGGATGACGATGCTGTCCAGGTGGAGGAGGAAGATGGCCGTTGGTATGAGATTGTGACGAGCGTCGGCGCTGCGACGGGGAGATCGGTGTCTTCTCGGACCTGTCTGGTGGCGCTGGGGCATCTGACCCGACGCGTTGTCGCTTGGGGGATCGATCGCTATGGTGGTCTTGCGAGTCGAGAGGATTCTGGGATTCCGAACGCCCTCTGCCTTCGTCCTCGGGCTCTCTGAATCGCTTCAGTCCGTTGACGGGATCTGCTTCGCGCGGAGTGTTTGCCGGGCTGCCAGCGCGCGGAATCCTGGTCTTCTCAGTACCCTCGTCTGAGATGATAGGGGTGGTCGGGTAGTACTGGCTATGTTTTTGCATGGCATTGTTCTCATAGAGCTGTGCCATTCTCGTACACGCGCGACGCACCTGGGTCAGATCCACGTCAATTTGCTCCCACCACGGTTGGTCCGAATCGTCGTCGGGAAAACCCACGTCGCAATGACGAGCGGCAGCGTAGAGAGCGGCGGCGGCGATGATACGGGCCGGGAACTGCAGGCAGAGGACGGTGAACATGGAGTCGTTGACGAAAGCCCATGCCGCATTGCGAAGCGGCTTATTCTCGTTGACGCCGAAAAAGCAGATGAAGTCGTACAGAATGCGATACGGTTGCTCCAACTGCAAATCGAAGCAGAGCGCTTCCAAAACCATTTCCTCATGATGTAGAATGGTATCGCGCCACCTCCAGAACTCCTTGGATTGCTCGTCGACCACCAAGTTCGGCTGTTTCTGTGCCACTCGACAGCAAGCGACCACTAATTCTCTCATGCGCCGGACATTCTCCTCCACCTTGGTTGCGAGAAACAGCGACGTGGCGGCAATCGGATAGGGGTGCATTCCGGGTCGCTGTGGCAGGTCGACCATACTCCAGCGCATAAAAAATCGGTGGAGATAGACGGCGGCGGTCGCGAGGGTAAGCTGGGGGAGCTTCAGCATGATGCCCACCTGGGTAATGAAATTGACCCCTTTACTGCGACTTGTGTTCTCCACCTCCAGCTTCATACCGTCGAGTTGCGAGGGTGTCCGCGCGAGCTCCTCGTCGGTGAAGAGCCATTGGGATTGTATCTCAAGGAGGACGGGGTTCGAGGGCGCGGGAATGGGTCGTCGCTTCTCCGAGGGATGCGACGCTGAGGATGCCATGGAGAATGGTATATGCTCCCGATAGACGAGGACCGTTAAAGCTGACAACACTGAAGACAGGATTGAATGCGAGGGCACAAGCTGGATCCAAGCATGCACGCACACAAAAAAGTCGGATTGACTGATCATCCACTTGGCCTAGGCGGTTCACGTCAAAGTGAGACTGAGGATTGATCTTTTGTTGGAGATTGCGAATGCTAGTATATAAAACATAAAGAGACTTTGTCAAGCATGACGCGACCGGCACTTCATCGCATCATGAAGACTAATCAATAGCACTGTTGTGTGCTTCAGGATTTAGGAGCATAGACCAGCCACCGCTGTTGTCGAAGTGAAGAATATGCAATGTGGCAGGAGCTGCAAGGAAGACAGGAAAAAGAGGCAATGGAGAGCTATTCACTGCAAACTTGCAGAGCTCTACTTAATTTTTTTTTTTTTTTCTGGCGGCGGAGCGACAGTGAGAGGCGGAGGAGTTGACCGGTCACCAGGGAATGATCCGCAGGCGGAATGCGTTCTCTCGGATTAACGGGTTCTTCCGAACCCCCAGTCAAGTCATACAAACAATAAAGGTCTATTATTCATGCATGCATTAGTTGATCCACTGATCCTGATGAGGCTTTAGATCTGTACTTTTTCTCCTTCTTTCTTTTGGGATTATCACGAAATAAGCATTCAGTACAGTTCATATAAAACAATATAAAGTCAATTCTGTATACAGGTAAGGCAAGGATGCACAGGTGGTATCATTGGTTTCCAAAATATCATAGGACCCGCTCTATCGCGTCCGTCGCTTTGCTCCAAACTCCGGCTTATATGTAGACTTGATATAATAGTCCCTAAACAAAATATCGAAGGCCAAAAACAAGATGCAGTTAGATATACGGGGTGACGAGGAGAAGAGAACACATGGGTTTATTCTTCCTCGCTCACTTCACTCTCATCATCACTAGGGATGTGGTACTGATGCGACGACGCCCCTTGCTGAGAAGTGTGGCTTCGAGCTTCTTCTTCTTCTTCTTCTTCTTCTTCTTCTTCTTCTCGGGCGCTCTCCTCAAAGGCAGCTTCCATCTCTGCGGCCAAAGCATCGTCGTCTTCAACTTCTTCTTCGGTCGCCGGAGCATTCGACACGGGCTGCATCCTTCCAGGCGCTGTGGGTCGCCCCCCATGTCCAGCGGGAGATGGGAGTCGTAGATCCTCGATCTCTTCCTCTTCGTCTTCGTTGTCATCGCCGACATCCATCCCTGGGGTATTGTTCGACGAGAAGTGCGCGGGGTTGATGTTGAAGCGGGGGCGCGAAGGAGGTGGCGATCCCATGTCGATGATGAGATCTCCGTCGACGATGATATTTGTCCCTGGCGATGGAATTGCTTTATGGGCCGATATCGCACCCGTTCCAAGATCTGGAGCCGGTGAAGTCTTTGGCACTTCCACCCCAAGTCCGTCCGGCTGTTTCGCCTTCTCCGGAGCACGAGGCTTAGGCTTTGGGTTGGGTTTAGGGGTGCTCGTTGCGTTATCTGGTTTCGCCGGTGCGGCCGGTGCGGCCGGGCGTTTGGTCTGGCGCAAAGGATTTGCTGACGATTTGGGCCTCGGCTTCGGACTCGGGGTAGGCTTAAGCTTGGGGCTGGGAGTGGACTTAAGTTTCGGGCTCGCAGTTGGCCTCTTAGCCGTCGGCATCAGCAAAGGAGTATTGCCTTTACTCGGTGCGGAATAGGGTTCGGGAGTCGCATTGTCTGAGGCCGACTTGTTGTCATCTTCCGCATTGTCTTTGGGAAGAAAATGACGAAAATCATATGGGTTGCTGTCATCCGCCGGACCATCGTCATTTCCGCTCATGTCGTCTCCCGAGACGTGCTCGTCCTCCTGCAACGTCCGCAGCTGACGCAGTTCAAGCACCTGTTTACTTGTCCTGGCAGGAGCCGAGCGAAGATTGAAATTGAGCTGAGCTGCGACCGGCTCCAGGACGAACGCCTTTCGTTCGGCATCGAACACCAAGATCAAGTTATTCTCCTCCTGTCCCGAAACGGCCTGCTCAGGGTCCACGCTGCCTTTATATACATGCTCGGCATTCTGTAGCCCATCGGTGATCGTCAGGTTATATTGGTCTTTAACGCGAGAGGGTTTGATCACGGATCGCTGCAGCGGGTTCGCAGATTTCGACTTGTGGTTGTACTGTATGTGAACGAACTTGGAACGCGAGGCGTCCTTCTTTCCTGCCAACTTGTCGCCCAGTATTATAGGGTATTCGGCCTGTTTATTTGGGTCGATCAACCCGTTAGAGGGAATAGCGGAGGCAGCCATAGGGAATAGGTGAAACGGGAAATTTGTATATGTCAACCGAGGCTTTCTTTCAATATATAAGTCCTTCTGCCATACAAATTATAAGGAGGTCCTCATTCTCGTGGAAGTCTCCAGGAGAGGGGGGAAGGAAGAGGCAGAGACCGCAAGGTAGCGGACCGAAGATCACCGCCAGGGAGAAACGTCACACAAAACACAGCTTCGAAGAACGAGGAACAAAGGATGTTGGAGAGCCAGCACCAACTATGAACGGAAGGAGACGTTTCAGAGGAAATCAAAGGGGATATAATCATACAATGCGGAACCCATAGAGGGGAGGAGAGAGAAGGCAGTGGAAAGAGAGGGAGGCCGAGAGAGAGCGAGAAGGTCCAGACAACGTTGAAAGGCGGAGGTCACCCGGCGCCCGACGCTAGCGCCCCTTTGGGTTTAGGGGGGTGTGCTGACCTCCCCTTTTTAGAAACCTCATCCGGCGGCTGTTTTTGTTGGGTTTGTCTCGGTTTGTCTCGGTTTGTTTCAGTTTGCTTTGTTTGCTTGTTTCTTTCGCCCATCTCTACAAGCGCTTGTCCGAGGAGCGTCTTGCGTCTGATTGATTGCCTCCTCCGGTGAGCTGTTCCAGGCGTCCAGCCAACGCTCGATGTTTCTGTGTTACCTCTTCCCATTCGTAAGCGACCTCGTCTCCGTCTTCTCCGTCACTCAACTCCGTCAGAATCATGCCGAAGTCTCCCCCAAGTCGCCCTAAACTGGCAGCACAGTATAGGACCTGCGTAAGGAGACTCTCCCGCGAGCTTTTGTCCTGCACGTTGGGGAGATATGTCCGCAATGTACCCGTAAGTAGCTGAACCAGATGCATAGGAAACGTTGCAAGGGCCGAAGGGAGTGACTGCAGCGGGTCATCCTGGCGAGCCGCAGTCGTCATCTTAGTGCGTGCATCAATTCCCCGTAATCCCGTCACGGCGAGATCCGACCCAGAATGGTCCGGGGTAAAGATGTTCTTGTATAGTGAAACGATCGCGAAGCTCTGCTCCCGGAAGATTTCGACGTACCGTTTCAGAAACTTCTCGGTCTGGTGCCCCGCAGACCACGAGGTGGCCGTGCCGTCCTTCTTCTCTAGACTCTGCGCCCTCCGCTGCGTCTCCTGATCTGCGAGCTCCCGCAAGGGATCCAACGCCTCCAGCGTAGACACCAGATTTGCCAATCTACTGATCAAAAATAAGGCCCCCAGCGCACCTTCTCCGGTGCCAGTCCCGCCATCGCTACGGAGGTTCTCCAATTCGGGCGCAACTCGACGCATCCATCCCACCGTTCTCATGGCCGCAGCGAGTCGAAGATTTTGGGCCCGAAGGCCAGCGATAAGGTTCGTGGTCATATCCTTCATGGCATCCTCGGCTTGAAGCACGACATCTTTGACCAGAGGCGAATCGGGGTATAGGGTCTGCAGTCGTTTGATATGAGCGTATAGGTCCAATGCGGCCGAGTAGGTTGTGGAGAATGAGCCCGTCGTCGCACCCGAGCTAGCCGCGGCAGAAGAGACCGTCGTCGACAGTAGAGTGGGTAGCTCCAAGATATCGGAGAGTCGGTCAACGTTGCGTGCCAGCTGCATGGCCTTTTTGCGTTGCTCCAGCGCTGCATTTTCCGCGGCACGGTTATACTTGGATGCGAATTGGACGGCTTCTTCGTCGAGTCTCGGGATTGCATCTCGTAGTTGCTGGGCGTCTCGCGTTAACTGGGGAATTGAGGTGCGTAGGTGCGATAGACTGTCAGAGGAGGCGATGAACGTTTTGTGCGAACGATTGGATAGGGCCTGCAGTGAGAGTAGGGTGGAGTGGGAGGACTGCGCTAGCGACTGGGGTTCTGTTTCTTGCAACGCCTGGAGGGAGAGGGTGGGTAATCGATTGAGGTATTGGGTCGTGGTGACGTTGTGTTGAGGCGCCAGAGGAGATCCATCCCCTGAGGCCAGATGTGGGGTCAGGAGCTCATACAAATAGTCGGCCATGGTGTGTCGAAGCGGTGCGCGGAGTAAGGTAGAAGTGACGCGGAGGAATTATTGGATCTGGCCAGATGCTCGGCGAGGCAGTGGTACGGCGGGCGAGGCGGCAACTTGCGCAGCATCTCCGACTAGGGCCTGAGGCATTACTCCCGAGTGTTATTAGTAAAGCACGAGCGGGTTGACATCACCTGTCCCGCTAACCGGATCCAGTCATTCTCAGGTACTTCTCTTTCACGCGGGCCCGCACTTGGTCTTTTTCTCTCGCCTGATCTTCTCGAGTTATCCTCTAGATCCATCCCGGCCTCAAGGAGCTGGCTAGGAAGGTCTCGGTGGGCGCTTAGTGGTAGCGTCTTTCTACATCTTCCCTCTATTCCATCAACCTGATCTGCACCTAACCCCGCCCCTACACGTACCCGCAAAGCCGTCTATCATGGGCAAACCACGGGTGAGCTGCTTTCTCGCATCCTTCCCCCTTCTCCTAGCATACTGATCTTCTCATCCATGTCAGATGATCATTCTGGTGCGTCATGCTCAGTCGGAAGGGAACAAGAATCGTGAAATCCACCAGAGTATCCCCGACCACCGCGTGAAGCTCACCGCTGAGGGACATCGACAAGCCCAGGAGGCAGGGACTTATCTGCGAAGCCTTCTGCGACCCGACGACACCATCCACTTCTTTACCTCGCCGTATCGCCGGACCCGGGAGACCACGGAGGGGATTCTGCAGTCTCTGTCCTCCGATACCCCCTCTCCAACCCCCTTTCCCAGGCACACGATCAAGGTCTATGAGGAACCTCGACTCCGCGAGCAGGATTTCGGAAACTTTCAGCCATGTTCGGCGGAGATGGAGCGAATGTGGCTGGAGCGTGCGGACTATGGCCATTTTTTCTATCGGATCCCGAACGGTGAATCGGCTGCCGATGCGTATGATCGGGTTAGCGGGTTCAACGAGTCGCTATGGCGTCTCTTCGGAGAGGACGACTTCGCCAGCGTCTGTGTCCTGGTCACCCATGGGTTGATGACGCGAATTTTTCTCATGAAATGGTACCACTGGAGCGTAGAATACTTCGAAGATCTGCGGAACATAAACCATTGCGAGTTTGTCGTCATGAAACTCAACCCGGATAATGGAAAGTACGTGCTGCAGAACCAGCTACGCACCTGGTCTGAGCTACGAAAGGAGAAGGAAGCGGAACGACAGCGGGAAAGAGTTTCCAAAGGGCTTGGGCCGACGACACCTTTATCGCCGTCTGACCATCCGGTGCCGATTAGGCGCACATGGGGTGGTTGTCCTGACGGATGTAACCATGGCGTGCGGAGAAAAGGCTCGGTGCGATCGTCTCGGCCCAATGCGCCGGACTCGCATAAGAGACAGAACGAAGTCAGCCGGGGCGGCGCCACTCAGGAGAACAAGGTTGATCATCACCAAGAGCCGTCGTGCACAGTTTCCACCAAGTCGACAACTCAGGTGGAACAACGGACACTGACAGCTCCTGAGCCGGGGCTGGGAGACCGCTCGACAGAGGCAAAGCCTGTGGAGAAAACCATCCCCTCCCCGCCCCGGAGACATGATTTCCACAGGCAGGATGCATCCGTGACGACCCATGTCTCCCATGCCAGAATGCTATCAAATGATGGAGCTGATGCCACCGAGAATGACAACGCCTTGAACAACAGCAATGGCAATGACATGCCGAGCTCCGCGATTCCCCCGTCATCTTGCCCAAGCCCAAGTCCAATTCCGAAACGTCCGGGACTGGTGCACTTCCACCGCGACAGTGAGGATCATCTCCTCCATCCACCACGGTCAAATTATGGTCTTTTCCACCTTGGTGGTCGGGATGGAGGCGGTTCTTTGAGCGGAGCGAACAGCCTTGCTCCCTCCGAGGACGAGCACGAGATCAAGAAACGCGCTATCCGTCGACCTCTCCAGCATCAACCCAAATCTTCCCAGGATTTCGGCAACGATGGCGACGACGAAGGCAGCGGACAGCATCAGAAATTGCGTCGATCACGATCCCACAATCATCACCATCACCATCACCACCAGTACCACAATCACCGCTATAATCCCAGTCACACCTTACCCCCTGGCAGGCGACATCTCGCGCAACAGGTAGCCATCAACCTGACCGAGCGAGGCCAATATGATCATGACTACGACGGCAACGACGACTCTTCTATCCAAAGTCAGAACGAGACCCACCTACAGCATGGATACCAACATGATGACTACGATCACGATGATGACCATGACCACGACCATGACCACGATCACGACCACAACGGCCACAGAACCGATGACCTCGGCGATGAATCTGCCTTCGAAGCTCAACGAAGAGAAGACCAAAGCATCCGAGGAAGCGTATACTAGTCTTATAAATCTTACCTAGCTCATCATTCAACCACAGAAACATGGCTCGCCTCGCCCTAATCAACACATACCACCAACTCCTTACCTTAATGAACCAAACAATCGCCCACGACCACCTGCCGCTCTCTGAGATCCTCATTTGTTATATAGGTATCTTATCTTGCCTTTCTTTCTTCAACACTGCACTATCTCACTATCTTTCGGTTCTTCAGTCTTCAGTCTTCATTATTCCGGGCTCACTTTTCCTCCTCATGTTTTTGGTACTGATACCCAACCATTTCTTTTAAACTTCTTTACTTTTACTATAACTGGCTATACATACCTTACTAAATTGCACTACTATACATGGAGAAAATCATACATTCATAAATTCTTCTTTCTTTATATACCTACCTCTTTCTGGCATTGCTCAGAGAGGTCTTCTTTTGTTCCTCCTTTCTTGCCTTTCTTGGTGGATTTGATTCATTCTATCCCCCTTCAGGTATCTAGACAAGCGCTTCATTCAGAGTCCTAGCTAACTAATCAACGTTCGTTGTACATTACTTCGACGCATACTTGATTAGAAGAGAGAGGTTTCTTTCTTTTTCTTTTTGTCTAAAAAAGATGCGGGTGGAGAGGGCTGGGTGCATTGAACATGAACAC